CTTAATTTCATACATTTCATTTTTTTTTAATCAAGGTCAGGATATGAGTTAGAACTAGAGAGAAGGGTAAGATTATCAAAGGCAGATTCAGGGGGAGCCTAGAGGGTGTATTCCCCCCCCCCTTTTTTCATTTTGCATAAAATCGTCTTTCCCATTTATAAAGGAAATAACTAGTGTTGTCAAATCGAACAGTTTTGCATAACCAGTTACTCTGATAATCTTTCCACAGATTAACCAGTTAACTGGTAGTTAAGTTGATGTGTAAAAGCCTTATCGTTACTACCCTACAAATGTATGTTTTTATGATAGGATATCCTTGGGCATTATAAAGCTAGACTTTGAGCATTCCTGGTGGAGTTTAACTTTTAATAATCCAATTCTTCAGTATCTACTATGAAGTTTGTAATACTAGTAACTTCAGATTGAGAAGAAGAAAATAATGTGAAGTGTTTCAATTTGAGATGATTAAGCGTGTTACTCTTACCACCAAATATACATTAATTCCATTCACATGAAACCTTGGACAATGGAGGTGGCATATTTACTTGTAGGTCTACGAAATATTACATCAAAAATGAAATAATGAAGTAAATCGTAAAATCACGGTAATCAGCTACAACTTTTCAATATACATGTATGCTAATTATGTTTACTTTAGATCTTGCCCCAAGCTGATTGACAAGTTGTCTTTGTGCTAATTAATTTTGTAAAATTAGAATGTTTTCAAGGTTATCAATAGCAATCAATATACTGGACAATTGATCCGTCAAATTAATTACCATGATGATCATTTTAAAATTCAACAAAATGTATTAATGATTTCAATACACATTTATATCAAATCTATAGAATTGAAAAAAAGGTCCGGTTAACCGGTTAGCATGTTTGGTATTCCATATTCGGTCCTTCCGACGGTAATCTGGTTAATCGTTGACAACTATAGAAATAACATTACACCCCCCTTTCCTCATACCATGGACCCCACTCCCACCTGATTTTGTCTATTTTTACAAGTTTATGCTGATTTATCATGTGACAGACATACATGTACAACACATGTAGCTGAACCTTAGACTACCACTCACTCTAACATTTCTACTGAATTATAGAAGCTCACTTAGCCTGATGCCCTTGCATATAATGCTAGCTGTTAATATCATTTCCCACATAAATATGTTCATTCAAACTCATGTCAACCAAGTGCACAAACTTATTACCAGTAATAACATTTCTGAGCTCCTTAAAACATTAACAAGTAAGAAACGCTCTAGTCCTGACAGTCAATTTTCCTACCACATTCCAATCAAAATATTTAGGTTATCTAAAATGAGCTGTCCGTCTTCATTGTAAAATAATCTTTAAACATATAAATGTAAACTGGAGTACAACAAAAAACAATTTTTGTCTTTGATAAATTGTACATTCTTTGGTATCTTTACAGAATTACTTCTAAGATTAAGATCCCTAATGATTCATAGATGTCCATATTGACATGACAATTCAGAGGATGAATAATCAAATTGTACAGTTTGGTTTGTAAACCATTTCCCTCTCACCATCTTTTGGCAATGTCACTCAGAATAAACATTTATAAATAGATAACAATTAGGATTAGAATTCTTAGTGAATCACCAATTATTGACAAACCTTGCAAGAATAAACAAGAAAATAATTGTCTGGATTCTATACAACACAAATCGCAGAGGTTCTACCAAAATGCATCAAAATTAAATTTTATTAACTTTCTGATTCACTCACAAAAAAGTATCCACATCATTTGGGCTCTGGTGGATAGTTGTCTCATTGGACATCTTTTTATTTACATATATATATACAACCAAGTGTGTTTATATTTGAATTAATAGAAAAAGGAGACTGTATAACAGACCACTGGAAAGACAAATCAAAGTAGAAAAAGAAAGATGAAATATGTTCCACTTTTCAGGAGTTTGATATACCGGGGTATGTCCTTCTTATGATACAAAACTTAGTTGTAGACATAATCAATCCTCTAGAATTCTATTACAGAAGAAAATGGAGACATAAATTCACAAAGGAGATATTTTTCATTGTTAAACCCCAACATCAAAATACGACCTCTGAGAACTTGTGCCAAAAATTGTTGGTATGTATAAACAATGGAATGACATAACAATCACTGTTTAGTATACCAGGCAATAACTTATTAATTGAAGTGTATGAAAATTGCCAAGAAATCCTGTTCCCCAGGTGGTTAACGATATTATCTGATTTACCTCCCCTTGAGGAAATCATAAATCACCAACCCCCTGTGTGTTCGAACTGATTATTTCTATAATTGAATTAAGACAAAACATTCCGAAAATGACAGAATCATTCCTGTGTGATGATAGAACTAAGCTTTGTAGCAGCAGACAATTGATTCATCTTATAATCTGACTGGTACAGAAGGTTATGTTCAGGACAAGGTCAAGGTGACATTAATACAATATGATAGGAAAGTGTTTGGGCTGGAAGTCCAGAATTGAACTGTTTATCCATGATACAGAACAAAGAGGAGACCATAAATTCTTGCAACCCTTTCTGAAGATCATAGAAGGCCTTTTTGCCTGTGCAGTTCTTTTTCTTGCAGACAAATCTCTCAACACAATGTACTGAATTTAACATCCAGATTCCAATTAAACAGGTTATTATACAGCTGACACATTCTAACTGAGACCCCTCACAAAGTCCAGATAACTGTATTTCTTTACCCCAGTTAACCTTGGAGTCACAAAACTTAATACAAACTGAAGAATATTTTCAATTTAAAGATTTAAAGCCTTATAAGAAATGCATTGATATCAATGAATGATCTATACTTGTTGTAAATGATATTTTCTTTTCTTATTTTACTAAGGTCAATATATGTAATTGGATATTTTTATCACATACTGGCAGGTGAAAAAACTATTAGTGAGACATTTTAATGCAATACTTCATCCCTAAATTTCAATGATCTCACAGTCAACATAACTTAATTAACAGAATCAAAATATAAAAATCTGATCTAGGTCATAATAATCCTTGCCAATTGCTGACAGCTGTTTATCCTTTTTATATTTTGTTGAAAACTGATTTATATTTTAATTAAAAAAGTACTATAATAAAAACAGGTTTTCATCCATCATAAATGCATCAACAGTATTAGATTTTCTGATGGGACACATAAACAAGATAAAATACTGGCAGGCTACTGAATATCCAAACTATTGGTAACACTGTACAGTAAAACCCTATCTTACATAAATTCTGTCAGGTTATTTTATATCCAAAGTATTGGTAACTGTACAGCAAAACCTTATCTTACATGAATTCTGTCAGGTTACTGAATATCCAAAGTATTGGTAACTGTACAGAAAAAAACCTATCTTTTATGAATTCTGTCAGGTTACTGAATATCCAAAGTATTGGTATCTGTACAGTAAAAACCTATCTTAAATGAATTCTGTCAAGTTACTCGATATCCAAAGTAAAGGTAACACTGTACAGTAAAACCATATCTTACAAGTTCTGTCAAGTTACTCAATATCCGAAGTATTGGTACCACTTTACAGTAAAACCATATCTTACAAGTTCTGTCAAGTTACTCGATATCCAAAGTAAAGGTAACACTGTACAGTAAAACCATATCTTACAAGTTCTGTCAAGTTACCCAATATCCAAAGTATTGGTACCACTTTACAGTAAAACCAAGACTTAGAAATAACAAGTGAAACTGCGAGCTACTGCTCACTGATGATACCCCCAGCCCAAATATGCATTTGTTGTTGAGTGATGAATCTGAAAACGCATCACACGGTATAGCTGACTTATATATATAAACCCTGAAACCAAATTTCAGAAATCCTTGTAATGTAGTTCCTGAGAAAGATGTGACGAAAAATATTCATGGGACGGACGGACAGACGGACGGATGGCCAGACAGAGCTAAAACAGTATACCCCCACTTTTTTAAAGCAGGGGTATAATTATGTTAATTTACTCAGTGAATATCAAAGATTTCGGTAACAAACAAAGTCTGAGATAAATTGTGTCCAGCTACAACTAAACTAAGGGTTGACCATTTGATTCTGAGGGGAGCCATGTTAGTTTGAAAATACATATTCTGACCAGAGTAGAAAGTAAAAAAAAATACCAATAAATTGAAAATAAAAATTGGTCTGATAAATTTGAACATAAGCATTCCGATCCAACAAAATTTCCAAGCCTCTCCATCAGAATTAAATGGTCACTTTCTATTTGTAATACATGTAGTATTGGCAACATTTGACAGTGAAAAGTCGGTCTTCCTTAAATACATGTACTTTCAACCTAATGAATATAAATGCACACCTAATTATAGTTTTTGAATATTTGTACATGTAATACTTCTATGTGACATAGTTTGATGCTAGTATAAAATAAAACAATGTGTATATTTTGTGTTGAAAGAGTTTGAACTGATCCATAATTAATAATGTATCAATATGTCAATTTAAGCCAAAGGAAAACAACAATTTCCATGCCGAATCTCATCATACCAGGTATGTGGAATGCAGTGTACATTTGTATGCGTTCAAGAAAAGTAGGCCTATCTACTGAGGGTTCACGTAAAAATAATTTATCAGCAAATGTTAGGGAATTCAAATGAAATTCAAACAGAAAGCGTTACTTCCTTTGATTAAATGAGAAACTACAAAATCTTCAATCTTTTCTCACAATTTTCCTTTTTCTCAAACCATAAAATTTTATTTCAACAAATTTCAATGAATTGCTATATATTATGCATTTCATAAGAATTGGAACTGAAGAAATACTTACTTCTATAGAAAGTAACTATAAATAAAGTAAGCAATGCATAAGCAAAGCAAAATATAAAAGTATACAAAATATATCTTATATCAATTAAAGGTGCGAGGTACATATGTAGATCTCAATGAGACAGAAACCCAATGACAAATTATTAACAAATTTATGGAATGACTTTATCAAATACAAACCGATTGAGCTCTACGCCAGCTATTTGTTGTTGACCTTGAAGCAAGAGAGGCAGTGCTTAGGCTAGGACTGTTACCAGGAAACTGGAATACAAACAAACAAAAGCACACACAATAAACAAGGCAAAATAACATAAGCAAACAACAACTATGCAAAATATAATAGTAGCATGCAAAAAAAGAAAATATATACATGTATGAAAATACAGAGAAAGTGCAAACTCAAAGAGGAATAAAAATTATGATCACTAAAAATGTTCAAAGAAAGGCGCATTTGTGCATATGTAATTGTATATTGGTTTTAAAATAAAATAAGAAAATAAAAATGTTTTTTTTTGTTAATGATGATCAGTATATGAACATGTGTTTTGATTTATTACATGTATAATGGTCATGTGTACAGAGCCTGAATAGTTTAACCTATATACCTTTTATTTGATATGGACCTGTCTCTATTCTGGTCATTGCTATTATGTAACAAATTTTAAAGACCATCCTATTGTTATAGTACGGTAAATGTGTACATGTATGTTCATGTACTACACAAATGTACATACAATCAGTTCTCATTTGCAACTTCTAACCCCAGATATTCATGTACAGAGATTGGACATCATTGCTAATGATACAACTATCCACCAGTGGCCAATACATGTACAGAGATTGGACATGATTGCTAATGATACAACTATCCACCAGTGGCCAAAGGACAAGGATGTAAAAAACTATAGATCAACTTACAGACTTCAACAATGAACAAAACCGAAACCATAGAGTAAGCTGTAAAAGACCCAGGCATGACAAAAAATGTGAAACAGGACCAAATGAACTTTGTTTAGTTTGATTATGCAACAAAGTTGATAATGTTGGTTGCACCATTTATTACAGTTTTAAATTCAATGTTTTTGCTGTATACATGTATATTCAAGATTTCAAACTGATTTTTTTATTTTAATATCAACTTATCTGTAACAAAGTTTTTATAGTATACATTTTATACAATATAAATATTTCAAACCTGGCAAGAGGAGGACATGTCTTTTAAGTTTTCACCTGCACTTCTCTCCTATATTTTTACCCATGACATATAATTTTTTTCAGGATTTTCCTGTGAGTCAGTTATATACATGTACATTGCCAAATAGAATTTAAAAATTAGTTTATGGCTCATTTTACACAATAAAGAAATTAGGTTCTTGAATTATGATAGTATGTATGTATACAGCATTGTAATTATATATATTAAGAAAGTGACAAAATGATCAAAAGGCAAAGGAATGATTATCAATGATATAACAAAAAATTTCAGTAATTTTCAATATCACAAGTACACTTTTTGTATTTGAATTCAAGATATAAAGTCAACAAAATGTTTGAAAACGTGAAAAGCTGTACAGGAAAAGGTAAAAAATACGATCCTTCACACATACAAGCAATTCAAGACCCCACCGATACTGGCTTCTTCGGTAAAAATAAATAAAAGATGTCAACATTTTAACCCTTTCATACATTAATGTAAGTGACTACTTTAAGTGAATGATTTAATGGAAGGTAAATTGTCAGGTGAAAATTTTTTTACCTGAGAACACCTTGTCAAGGTGAATTCAGGGGACAGTTAATCTCATGTATAACATAACATTTTTGGTAATATTACATGCTATATAAACTAGTCTTTTGATGTCTCAATTCATTTATCCTGGCCATTGTAAACTTTACATACAATGCAGAGGCAGATTTAGAGGGTTTTTCAGGAGGCCAGGGCCCCCCCTTTTGTGGGAAGAAATTTTGTTGATTATATAGGAAATCACTGAAGCATGACTGGAGCGGGCCCCCTCTTAGGCAGTCATGATCAGTGCCCCCCCTTTATGAAAATTTCTGGATCCGCCACTGCAATGTACCGTGTAAAAAACACATGTTCATTAGTATTTGGATTTTAAGTACAAAACATATTCAAATGTATATATTTACAATGTTCTAGAAAAATATTTATAAGCACCTGTCAATGATACATGTACCTTACGTAATACATCTATCTACATGTAAGGAAAGAGATAGGTCCTCACTTCGCCACCAAAAACAATTATACAAGTAACATGTGCACATACATGAACATTTGTGTAAATGTTTAAATGTAAATCATATACCCATTTTCGCTGACAATCAAATTTAAATCATCCCAGATTTTGAGAACTAAATGTTAAATCTTTTAACCTTTATAAATGATACATCAGGAAATGAAGGTGTTAGATGCTAACCAGATGTCATGATAAGTGCATGCATGTAAATGCATATACATGTACTTTTACAAGTCCCCTCGGGCTTCCTATAAAAAGAGTTCCCAATATTTAACTTTTCCAGTAATCAAATTCAGTCAAGGTTTTAATCAGGGTAAACATAAATGAATATTAGATATATTAAAAGGTGTCTGGTTAAAGAAAAGAAATGCTATCCAGGCAACAACAATATAACAACAGAACGACAGGTCAAACACCTACTCGCTGCATGAGGTCTAAGAACAAATTTATGTTTCACAATTGTGCACCAATCTTTATACAGTTAGTATCTTTATAGTATAAGGTCATGTTATGATAAATCTGTTGTCATGATTATTTCACCTGTTAATTTCAGGGCTTACCAAGAAAACTTTTGATAGGAAGACATTTTAGTATTTTTTTTATAAAGTAAAGGTATTCAGATCATTTTGCATACATGTATATAATAAATACTGGAGAACTTATTTCAGCACATATCAAGATTTTGCCTAATTCCACCATTTTATTATTTTTTTTATAAAGTAAAGTTATTCAGATCATTTTGCATACATGTATATAATAAATACTGGAGATCTTATTTCAGCACATATCAACATTTTGCCTAATTCCACCCTATATTTATTACATTAAACTTGAACAAAAGCTTCTCCCTCAAATAGCCAACCAGGTAAAGTGAGGACAAATAAATACAAATATAAAGACTACAATAGGTCTGATTTTAAATTAAATTTTCTATTTTCCATTTGGCATTCAAAAATACAGAAAAATAAATTTTAATAGATTTCTTTCAAAGTTCATGTAAATTGCATCTATTTATATCAGCTCTCAATCAGATATATAAAATGTATAAAGAGTGTGACTTCACAGTGACTGGTCAAGATTTCATTTTCTGATAGCATTGATGACATGAAGCTACTGGTATAGAATATATATGTAGTTGCTTTTATACAGAAGTACATTTGTTTCAAATGGGTAAGGATATTTTACCATTCAAAGAAAGTTAATAAATTAACATTTTCAACATGCGAGCTTTAGCAAGCTAGTCAAAATTTAAAATTCAGCTATTGTGGGGGAGACATCATGTTACACATGAGCAAACAGAAGCAGAATTTGCTTCTCCTATACATTTTCAGTGTTAAGCCTGTGATTGAATAAGACAACAAATGAAGCTACTAATAAGAACAGGTCTTGATGAATAAAATACATGTACCAATCCCAGCACTAGAAATTATTTGTTAATTGCCTAAGATAATTTAACCCACGCATCTGGCTAACAGTGGTATCAAAGTGGCCATCAATTCATGGTTTCAGAATCTAATGCATTTTGGGTAATTATTTAAATAGTGTATGCCAATCAAATGTGATTGGTTGACAATATAAAAAGAAGATGTGGTATGATTGCCAATGAGACAGTACTCTCCACAATAGACCAAATAACACAGAAATTAATAGCTATAGGTCACCGTACGGCCTTCAACAATGAGCAAAGCTGAAATGACAAATGTAAAACAATTCAAACGAGAAAACTAACGGCCTAATTAATGTACAAAATAATGAACGAAAAACAAATATGAAACACAGCAACAAACGACAACCACTGAATTACAATTAATAATAATGGATATTCAATTATGAAATTACAAGTATTACTTTAGATTCTGAAACAGCAAATTGGAGGAACAATTTTCTCCACTCCCCTGGCTTTTTCGGCATCAGGTTTTATTTTTCCAGAGATGTGGACCTGTTGAACGTTAATTCAGATTAACCTGACAGTGCTTTGCTGTATTGAACTTTGACCCTGATGCTTTCAAAATTAAAGAAAGAAAATTGAACATGCAAGCATCATGATCTTATTAATTATTTCTATTTAATTGTTTTTATAATTTGACACAAGTTTTCTATGCCAAAGCTATAAGATGGATGCATGAACTTTATTTGTGAAATCACAGTAGATAGAAAAAAAACAGGTGGTTTGAATCAAAAACCATTAAAAATAAATATCAATGAACAATGATAAAATTAAGGTGATCAAAACATGTGTACATTATAATTTGTACATGTGTACATTATAACTGTGACTGGATAAAATGTTTTATTATTATTGTTTTTATGCAGATCCTGAATTCAATAGATTGTTTTCTTTAAGCACATTTTCTTCTCAATGATGAAGGAAAACTTCCATCAAAGAGTCTGACATAATTTTAGGAGTTTTTAGGTTAAAAAAAAGGTGCAAAGCAAAGCTATGGCAGAAAAAAGCTGAACTACTTTGTATAAAATTTCAAAGATACATGTAAAAGACACTGTTGGATAAGACTTTGTTTACCAACAGTTTGTCATGTTTGTATCAAGGTATGAGCATGTGTGTGGAATAATGAAATAATAGACAAACTTCCAGTAAAAACAATGATCTAAAAATAGCATTGTAGATTAGAAAATCTAATTAGATTCTGATGTATTATATCAGGTGAACAGGAAACGCTTGATTAAACGGAGCCTTGCGGGTGATTAAAACCTGCTGTTTAGTATACAGGTGGAGCTATATTCTTTTGTTGTATACTCAGACAGAAAATTGTTAAGAACTTCTACGATAAACAAATCCACAATCTACTGCCTTACACTTGTTATGCAAAACAAGTTATGAGAAACATTTTAAACCTTTTGTTGCTTGGATATAGATTTATAAAAGAAAAATGTGGTTTTCTGTATGTATTAGATACACATTGAGGGCGTTAGCCCGAATGGGCGTAACTAATTTACATCAAGACATTATGGTCAATATCAATAATTTAGGAGGGGGGTTGTTCAGCGATTTGATCATAAGTTATTGAATAGCATGATAAATGCAGGGTATCCCAATTTCATTTTACAACATCTTGGTGTAAATGTGATTATAAAATATACATGTAGAATAAAATATATTATTTCTATAGTCATGATAGTAATGGAGATTTTTCAAAAGAAAATACAATGCACATGTAATGTACAAAAAGTGTACATGTCAGTATTGTCATGATTATTGCAATATGTACATACTGGCTAGATGTACGTGTATTTCTCTATAAGCTTTGTCTGGATCTCTAATACTCTGTGATCAACCGATCACTTTGATTTTGAAAAATTGTAACAAACATGTAAAAAATGTCCCAAAAATGTAAACAGAAACTAAATATTTTTTGTTAATAGACAGTGAAAATCAACTTTATAAAAAAGTACATTTGGCAACAAAATTAAAATACATTATGTAGCTTTATACATGTGACTCTCCATGCAACATCAAGGGAGGTAACTTACTTGTTGTTCTGATGGAGTAAATGCTTCATCGTCACTTTGATCTGTTTGATCCTGATCTGAATCTAAAAATAGATACAATTGGTTATAATTTAAACTGTTAACACAGAGATATGTCTCGCCTTTTTGTTATATTAAATTAAAAGTAAAATGCAAATGTTGAAATTAAAATAGCAATACTTTTAACATGCAAGTTATGCAAAATATTCAAAGTCAATAAACCATGACTGAGGGGGTTGGCCCAAATAATCTCATTGGAAATGAGATGAGCCAATGCTTATACAACTGCATGCAAAATATCATTGACCTACCACTAGTGGTTCCTCATAAAAGAGGGACGAAAGATACCAGAGGGACAGTCAAACTCATAGATCGAAAACAAACTGACAACGCCATGGCCAAAAATAAAAAGACAAACAGACAAATAATAGTACAGATGAAAGAACATAGAAAACTAAAGACTAAGCAACATGAACCCCACCAAAAACTGGGGGTGATCTCAGGTGCTCTGGAAGGGTAAGCAGATCCTGCTCCACATGTGGCACCCGTCATGTTGCTTATGTTATTACAAATCCGGTAAATAGTCTAATTCGGTAGGTCACATTCATGAAAAGGGAAGGGTATTGTAGTTAGGACATAAGGAACATATCCGATATCATCTGTGAAACGGCTATTCCATAACATCCAACTAACTCGTGATGGTGCAAAAATTAAAATGCATGATATTAAGTACATTAGGATACATTTTTTTTGTACTTGAACTACCTTAACTAGAGGCTCTAAAGAGCCTGTGTCGCTCACCTTGGTCTATGTGAATATTAAACAAAGGACGCAGATGGATTCATGACAAAATGATTACTAAGATTTACGAAAAATTGATAAAAATTGATTATTAAGGGCAATAACTCCTAAAGGGGTCAACTGACCATTTCAGTCATGTTGACTTATTTGTTAATCTTACTTTGCTGAACATTATTGCTGTTTACAGTTTATCTCTATCTATAATAATATTCAAGATAATAACCAAAAACAGCAAAATTTCCTTAAAATTACCAATTCAGGGGCAGCAACCCAACAACAGGTTGTTCGATTCATCTGAAAATTTCAGGGCAGATAGATCTTGACCTGATGAACAATTTTACTTCATGTCAGATTTGCTCTTAATGCTTTGGTTTTTGAGTTATAAGCCAAAAACTGCATTTTACCCCTATGTTTTATTTTTAGCTGTGGCGGCCATCTTGGTTGGTTGGCCGGGTCACGCCACACATTTTTTAAACAAGATACCCCAATGATGATTGTGGCCAAGTTTGGTTTAATTTGGCCCAGTTGTTTCAGAGGAGAAGATTTTTGTAAAGATTACTAAGATTTACGAAAAATGGTTAAAAATTGACTATAAAGGGCAATTACTCCTAAAGGGGTCAACTGACCATTTCGGTTATATTGACTTATTTGTAAATCTTACTTTGCTGAACATTATTGCTGTTTACAGTTTATCTCTATCTATAATAATATTCAAGATAATAACCAAAAACAGCAAAATTTCCTTAAAATTACCAATTCAGGGGCAGCAACCCAATAACGGGTTGTCTGATTCATCTGAAAATTTCAGGGCAGATAGATCTTGACCTGATGAACAATTTTACTTCATGTCAGATTTGCTCTAAATGCTTTGGTTTTTGAGTTATAAGCCAAAAACTGCATTTTACCCCTATGTTTTATTTTTAGCTGTGGCGGCCATCTTGGTTGGTTGGCCGGGTCACGCCACACATTTTTTAAACAAGATACCCCAATGATGATTGTGGCCAAGTTTGGTTTAATTTGGCCCAGTTGTTTCAGAGGAGAAGATTTTTGTAAAGATTACTAAGATTTACGAAAAATGGTTAAAAATTGACTATAAAGGGCAATTACTCCTAAAGGGGTCAACTGACCATTTCGGTTATATTGACTTATTTGTAAATCTTACTTTGCTGAACATTATTGCTGTTTACAGTTTATCTCTATCTATAATAATATTCAAGATAATAACCAAAAACAGCAAAATTTCCTTAAAATTACCAATTCAGGGGCAGCAACCCAATAACGGGTTGTCTGATTCATCTGAAAATTTCAGGGCAGATAGATCTTGACCTGATGAACAATTTTACCCCTGTCAGATTTGCTCTTAATGCTTTGGTTTTTGAGTTATAAGCTAAAAACTGCATTTTACCCCTATGTTCTATTTTTAGCCGTGGCGGCCATCTTGGTTGGTTGGCCGGGTCACGCCACACATTTTTTAAACTAGATACCCCAATGATGATTGTGGCCAAGTTTGGTTAAATTTGGCCCAGTAGTTTCAGAGGAGAAGATTTTTGTAAAAGTTTACGGACGACGGACGACGGACGCAGGACGACGGACGACGGACGACGGACGCAAAGTGATGAGAAAAGCTCACTTGACCTTTCAGGTCAGGTGAGCTAAAAATCAATTGATTTAAATGTAATGGCTCTACAACTATAAAATGGTTTTCTTTACTGGTCAATATCATAAAATATTTGAAAAGAGGCAGATTTAGGAGGTGGAGGGGGTTTTTGCCTTACAGCTATATATAAATGGTTAACGCATAAACTTTTTAACAGTCCCACTCCTTATGTTGCCTTGGTGGACCTCCCTTTTTCAAAATCCAGGATCCCCAATTGTTGACATACATTGTACACATATTGTACATTTCATCAATGAACCTGTGCCTTACATGCCTTAGCTGACTTGGATACTTGTATACATGTATGTAAAATACAATACAAATTCTCCATATCCTCTGAACAGAAGGACAGAACAAAGTGGCTATTGTATTAAAATTTAACTTTATCATGTTTATATCACAGACTTGGTCTGGTGTTATATTTCATTTTCTATATTCATAACATAAATGATGATAAATTTGTTTACATTATACAGCTAACTATCTGAGATAAACAAGATATATACATGTACAATGTATTTGTCATGATTCACTTCAATTAATGCACTGATGTAATCCTCAAGTGCGCATTTATTTACATGTATATTTTCAGCTTTCCGTTAAAATACAATGATCAGAAAAAAAAACAATGATTTCAAACCAAGTTTTCTCATCATAAAATTGAAATATTTTGGCCTTTTCCAACCTTCCAAAACCAGACATTTTTCTTCCATCACCAGTATGCTACGTACTGAAAATTGTGTTTGTTTCACCATCTATAATGTACAAAATCTGCCAATTTTTCAAAATGTGTTCAATAAGTGCAACATGAAAGATATTCATTCAAGTTAAAAAAAAAAAACAAGCTATATATACAAGTATACCGGTATACATCAGGATATATATATGATTGATTGATTGTTGGCCATGGTTGCTTAACGTCCAGTGGCAAATATTTCATGCATATTCAGGACGAGAACAAATTAACAATAAATATAATAGGTAGGTTCTGTAATAGATTAAGGGATTAAGGTCGGAGAAATTTAGACTGCCACAGGAAATGAGGGTATATTGGATAGGGACAGAAATTTAGCCTTGCAACAGGTCACCTACAGACCCCTCATAGAGTTGTTGCAAGGGTTCTTAACGTGCAAAGAGCGTGGCACTCTCTTTACACGAGGCATCAGATTTAACGTCCCCATTCTGACCGGACGTGGCTGCAAATTTGTACATCCCGCACAGCCAAACGGACGCCCCACTTTGGCGAGGGTTTTACTGCCTGTCGGAGGAAGACCAATGGTGACCATACTTCTATTCCCCAGTCACCCTTGGGGGTTAGGATATATATACTATCATCACGAGTCATAGATATACATGTAGTTAAAATACATGTAAAAGATTTTCAAAGCAATCTTAGTCATGTTAGGATGGAGAAAAATTCTGAAAAAGATCTGGACTGAGTAAATAGAATTTTAAAGTTACTGAACAAAACAATTTAAATATTTTTTTTTGTATCTTACAAATGTACTTCTTAATCATGTTAATATGAAAATAAGTTTGAAAGTCAATCCTGAATGTAGTTACACTGTCAGAACGGCAGTGGGCCTGCAATCTAGACTACTGGTCAATGAATTCTGTAACTGAAACTGGTGGATGCCAGCCATCTAATCTAATTAACACTTACCAAAAGCATGTCCATTGGATTGTCCTGAACTAATTATTCCATTAGGAGCTGGCGTAGATGTAGCTTGTGGAAAATGATTTGATATACTAGAATCTATCAGTTTATCTGGAGTACACACTACCATTTTTTCATTTCCATTCATTTTTGGAGGAGTTCTAGATAAAGTTTGTTCTGGAATATTTTCTTTTTGATCATAATCCATACTAATTCGAGGAGATTCATGTTTGGGAATTGTTTGTAAAGACTTTTTGCTAACGGGACTTATGGGTTTTTCTATTTCTGAATATGGCCTTCCTCCTCCTGGATCACCTGAACTGGACTTCTCCGAATGAGAAGGAGTGTGTTCTTTACTTGATGACCTTCCCCTATGTTTTGAACGTTTTGGTGACTTTCGAGGCGAGGGCGAAGGTTCACCATCAGCATCTTTGTGTTTTGTTGCCTTTTGTCCTGAAAGAGAAAATCAGTTTAAAATAATGTATGTGTGAATGTACATGTATGCATAAAGCCAGGACTACAACTTAAAGTACAAATGTACAAAAATAAATCTGTTGTATGGCCCAGCAATGTTTTTTTCTATTGCTTTGAAAAAGAAAATCAGTTTAAAATAATGTATGTGTGAGTGTACATGTATGCATAAAGCCAGGACTATAAATCAACGTAAATATGTTGTATGGCCCAGCAATGTTTTTTTTCTATTGCTTTGAAAACCCAAAAGTAAATTCATTATCCAACTTCAAATACAAACATTCAAATTACTACATATACATGTAGTTAGGAATACCTGTACCCACCTCTGTTAATGAATAAACACTACTATGACTCCTTTTATTTAGCTGCTTATCAAAAAAATAAGAAAAGTTATAAAATTTAAATCCTGAGCACTGCAGATACTAAGCCCAATCCAACTTTGTCTTTTTTTTAAGTTGAGATAAATCTTTAAATTATCAATCATGGCCATCTCCAATCTTTTATAATTTCTTTAACAGGGAAACAAATAACCTGACATTAAATTTTGATCCCACATGATGTTACAGTGTAAGTGTATAAACAACTGTGAAAAACCTACAAATCCTAGTGTCATGGTCACACTGAAAACTTAAAGGCATTTACATGTACGTATACATAATAAAAAGTAAACAAACTGAAGTTCTAGATTAAATTTTTTACTTGTCAGCTAAGTAACAATGTATTTGCACCTTTATTACACCTTGCTCCAATACACATGTACATAAAAACTAATTGCATGTATACAATAAACTGTAATGGGCAGGTAAATCACAACAAATTAATACTTATCCAAACATCAAACTGTTATCAGTGGTTTTGAAGGCCTGTCATTTGTGGGGTCTAGTGATCTTTGGGGTCAGAAGGTTATTACCTTTATTTTAGAATTTAAATCAAATTGTCAAATAAACAAAAAGCTTTGACAAAGCCAACAATGATAACCATTACAAACACAAAGGTGACAATGTATTATGTGATGAAATCAACACTTTACTAAGGGTTATACATTGTACATGAATACTAAAAATACCAATTGTCTCAAAAAAAAAAGAAGAGATATACATGTACATGTACCTACATATATGCAACAATAATGTCCAATCAGTTATAAAGTTGTTTTGTCAGCAAAATTTAAACTCTTAATTCTAATATACATGTAATTGTGCACACAATGACACAGAGGGGTGAAAGGGTCTAGATCTTTTAAAATAAGAATAACTGAAATAAACTACTTGAACATGCATTTTTAAACCTCTTACAGCTCTTGGGTTCACTTTCCAACCTTACCTATCAATTCTATTTCAATGATGGACATTTTATGTTAGATTCATAACTTGAGAATTGTTTGTGCATAGAGATTTTAATTTCATGTAAATCTACTAAACCTAATCACACATGTATTCAGAATCAATGTACATATATCCGAAATTTTAAACACATTCTAAAAAAGCTTACTGAATTTACTGTGTGAAGTGTACTTTTTTTATCATTAACAATAATATTTAATGTATTGTGTAAATATTGACTTCTATATATAGAGCTTATACATAACCAGTACATGTACATGTATGTTTAGCACTTCATTGTACTGTGTAAACAAAATAAAACATTCCACAGCATGGAATTAACTGGTTAAGCTGCTTAAAAAACCAAACATTCTCTTAAAGAAGTCCAGTAATCCAATAATACAGTTAAGTACCTAGCCTTGTTGAATAAAAATGTTGATGGTATTAAACAGTGGGACACTTCCTTTGTCAAGTGTTCATCTTTATAGTAGTTGCTGGGGTATAAAAACTGGTGCTACATTGTATATATTCTATAATTCACTTTTATTTTCTACAGGAATAAACTAATGGTTCAACAGCTCTTGTATATATTTGTACCAAGTATGCATTAAGTTAATTTTGTAGAATATTTTCATACATAAAGCACTGATCATTCACATGTTGTGCTAAGTTTCTTTAAAGAAAACATATACCAGTAATTTGTTTCAGAAGGGAGGTGAACAAAATAGTTTGTTTCTGATGAAAATTGTGGAAAAAATCAACAATGAGTTTCAAATACCCTTTAGAATTTGTTGAAGATGGGATGTAATTGTACATTTATGTGAAAGCCTTATTATATCTTTGGAAATATCCTTACTTCAAGTATATATTAAGCAGTATTGATTGTTGGTTGCTTAACGTCCAGTGGCAAATATTTCATGCATATTCAGGACGATATATAACAGTATTAATATTATTTGTAAAAATTAGATGTGTTCAAAAAAATATCAAATTGAAAATTTTACTGCAGAACAAAAAAACAAACAAACATATCCTTTGTTTTTCTATTACATGTAGTGCGGGAGCACCCACACAATTACACCACATTTTGTCCTTGTACCAAGTCAGGCTATCTGAGCCATATATGTGTTGTCTCTTTTGTTGTGGTCTATTTTATCGAGTCAAGTGATGGTCCAATAATTCGTGTTGTCCATTTAATATGTGTTACAATTATGTATGTACATGTAAAATTCTACATTTTGTATATACATAGCTTACTGGCACAACTTTAGATTTGTTATGCAATTAATTATCTGTAGGTTTACATGTATTTTATGCATACAATTATTTACCAGTGGTCAATTATTTTGGGAATTCTATATTGAATCAGAAGACATCTTCATAACTACATGTACAATTGTCATTTTTTTTTATGTACATGTACCTCTACATTGTAGTGTATATGATTCATCCTACAGTGTTTTATCAAGAATGTAGCCTAACAACTGTGTTATGTTTTTATTTATTCAGTAATCAGGCTAATTAGACCTAAAGTAGTTTCATGCAGTTCGGAATGTTATCAGCATCTCTTCAAGGAATCAATGAACCTTCATGCTTCATCAATTTGCCAAACCGCCATCTTGGAATCAAATTATTCCATGCATTTGCCAAAACATTTTGCCATATTTTAAGTATCTGATTTGTTTTTATTTTTCATCGTAAAATGTCAATAAACTTGATCTATTCAGGTAAGTGCATCGAAAATTAACCATTGGTGTGTGGATACAAATTTTACAATCACATGCAACCGGTCTCCGACGCGTGTTGATTTCATATCAAAATAAATATATATTGTTCCATAAAACTTACCCATTTTGTGTGTTCTTTTGATCTTTAGTAGTTTAATACACTTCCTTACAATACGATAAACATCTCCGTAACATTTTCATTCGAGCTTGTTTGGGAGAAGTAGGCGAAATGTCAATACATTCATTGAACAGGATTATTCCAATTTTTTCGAGGTGCTCGGAAATAATAAGTTTTTCCGCAGTTAAACGGAATGTAGTTCAAACTGAATTTATTTTCTAATTTTGGACAATTAAGATTGATTTTGATTTTGAAATTTTCTACGGGATGTTATTTGCATTAAAAATTGTCTTTACATTTATTTCAATTATATGCGTGCTATTCTCCCCTTCATATTCTTGGTATCACCCAAATTATGCTCCGCCCAAATACCCACAATTCAATAACATGGTTTACTACACATGTTAAAGTTTACTACGAAAACAGTTGTGAATGAAATTTTAAGTACGTACCAACATGACATCGTTATTGTTAATGACTGGAACTGGTGTAGCTGCAACAATACTTTTGGTTTTAATTGTGTTGATAATGAACAGGTAGGGTAATTATGTTTTTAAATGATGAAAAAATACAAATTATATAATTCAGGTTTGAAGAGAATTTTTTTATTTTTTCAATTGTATATTGTTTTCGCTAACAATTATAAAAAGTGAAAAGCTTCCATTTGCAGATATCTCTCGCAAACTGAATGAAAATATGCATCTGAAGTCTGTAGTGGGAGAAGTTATTTTGATATTTGAATTATTAGCTGCTAAATCGGAGCAAGGATTTGTATAGAATACTATACAAATCCTGGTCCAGAGCAAGCGGAATACTATACAAATCCTGGTTCAGTGCAAGCGGAGACCTGATCATCTTACAACTCAGGGTTTTTAAAGAGATATATCTAGAATAATTGCTGATGTTTAACACCATATTTAGATATAATTCACTACTTTACGTATGTCTATTATGCGCAATTTTTTCATTATTCCTCCTATGTGACAATTTAGGTCAAGGTGCAGTCAACTGACCAGACGTTGACCATAGACACAGTTAACCTCGGGCCAAGTGGACAGTGTCATACTGTCACATTGAAAAGTGTCTATCAACCTTTAATTTAAAACATGTATGCCATGTAAAACTTAATGTAGAATGGGTCAAGCAATTTCTAACTGAACAAAACGCGACCTTTTGCAATTATAGTCACCTAGTTTGCCGCGTGATAAACTTAAACACATTGTTTATCACATAATATTTTATATTTTTAGAATCATTCTATGAAACTTCTGTAGTTCTTGAAATGAAAGACATAATATTATGATAGAATTTTGAACCAAATCAAATCAAATCAAATCAAATCAAATCAAATATTTATTATTCCAATCATGGTCCCACAGGGGGCATTTACAATTAACAATTATGATAGTATAAGCAACAAACATGAGGCATTGTACAGTACATAACGGAACAACGGAACAATAATATCAGCGTAGTTCATGTTGTAATAAAGGCCCTAATCTTCACGGAAGCACCCGTGAGTTCGCCGTTACGATTTTTCAGGTCGGGTTCGTGTTGCTGGCTCAATCATTATTTTTCTGTGTAGTGATTGTGGACTGTTGTTTGTCTGTTAGTCTTTTGAGCTTTTGGTTATGGTGTTGTCTTTCTTTCTACGGATTATTGTTTTGAATGCTTCCTTTGTTTAATTTTCTCTTGTTTCAAATGTTTGATGGGAAGATCTGTGACCGGACACCACATCTATTATTAACTCAATTTATATTTCATGTACTTTGAGTTGTCTATATTGCAATTTTTAGTATAAACCAAAAATCACTGTACTGATTATGTACATAATGGGTCCTCTATTGGAAATAAAAAAATATATATCCGTCTTAAAAATTTAAAATTTATCTTTATCTACGGCTGTATTTGTTTTATGTAGAATTTTATTGTCCATCCCATATATTCGAATTCAGAACCTATCTAAGTGAGATATTTTAATTATGAATTTGAGCAGAAGATTTGGGATATACGTCAATGAGAGTATAACATAAGAAACAATTAAAATATATAAGTGGTTTATTTATTTAAAAAACTGTAGCCGTTGGAAAAGACAGACGGAAGAAAGCAAAGGGATATTCAAACTCATAATTCGATGACAAACTGGCAACGCAATATCAAAAAACGAAAATGGAAAAACGACCAACAGACAAACAACAGTTTACACTAGAAAGACTGATCAGAACGAACCCGGCAACCAAAAAACGGCGTGATCTCAGGTGCTCTGGAAGGGTAAGCAAATCATGCTCTACACGTGACACCCGTCTTGTTGCTCATGTAAGTAAAAACCCAATGATAAGTCTAATTCGGTGATGTCACATTATGTTCTAAGAATTTGTGAAAATCCGTAAAATAAAAAAAAAAAAATTGTGATACTGAAATTCAGGAATTTTTTGTTACAAGGGGTTCGATATAGATATCTCAAAATAAGTACAAAGATAATTGGAACCTTTTGTGGAAAAGAAAGAACAAATATTTCAACATATTAAACGATTGAACAATTCAGAAACGTTTTTGAATGTTCAAAATAAGTTTGCTATGCAGTATGTATTTTGCTCATTGTTGAAGGCCGTACAATGACCTGTTGTTGCTAACTCCTACTTCATTTGATCTCTGGTGGAGAGTTCAGTGTTGGCAATAATACCACATCTTCTTACTTTTATAATGAGATACAAGGATATGAAATTTCAAAAAGCGACGAAAAGTTGGTCAGAAAATGAAATGAATCAGTCATCTTTGTTAAAATAATCTATGCGAAGAATTTCAGTCTCTGTTTAGTTATATGTCATTTGCATGCAGTTGTATAAAAGCTTTTATTTGGGTTTTTTTTTAACAAGTAATTTTCTGTGAAATCGGTTGTTACTGATGTCTCGTCAAAATCTAACGTTTTGCATAAACATGAGACGTAATAAAAATATATAGTCAGCTGATGATTTATTGTAATCATGTAATGTATTATATAACAAATTACACTTAATTTGTCAAACCAATTGTGTGATGTCGTTGTACAGTATATTGTTGGTGTTGCAGTTCAGATTTACATTGCTAGTAAACTATAGTAATTTTGATTATGGTAAATAATTTGCATAATTGTGGTAAATGGCGTGTAGACTAAAACATTTTATCAGAAAGTGACCTAACAATATTTATCGAGAAACAGAAGAGCAGACCTTCTCCACATTCGAATGATATATGTGCAGATTAAACAGAAATCTCACAACGGTAGTGTCTCAAACCGTATACACAAAAATCCGTCAAATGTCGTTTCATCTCAGCTGCTAGAAGTGTTAATAATTCTGCCCTTTTAACTAGTTTCCTGACTACTATATATATATATATTGGTGGTCTTGTTTTAGATTTTGTAATAAATCATATGAAAAGAAGTCTTATGGAATTTATATTATTTTTAGATTGTTAAAAACTCTTTGAATGTTTTTGAAAAAACTACGTTCTGTTACTCATATAAATATAGAATATTTAAAGACATCTATCACACACCGAACGCAACTAATCACTGAATTTTTAATTTTCATGAACAAATGGACGGTTGCCACTAGTGGAGCAGGATCTGAGATCGTTTGGGTTCATGTTGCTCAGTCTTTAGATTTCTATGTAGTCTAAGTATTTTGTAGACTGTTTTTGTGACAAATATTTATAAAGATGAAATCTTTATGTAAAGAGCGTTACTCAATTAAAAGTTGTATAATTTTTAATTAGGCCCTCAAACAAATACATACATGCAGTACACATCCAACAGCAACATACACCATGCATTGACGTTTTGCATTTGCGCCAATCTGCACTTCATTTGCGCCATTTGTTTTTTCTTCATTTGTGAAAATATTATTTTTTTTCATTTGCGCCAATTTACAGGTAAACACAAGGCATGAGACATATACGTTGTACAGAATTTAGTGATATAATAGTAAAAATACTCCTTCCGTCTCACGGTCCCCTGCTCATCATGGGAAGGTGGAAGTTTGATTTCGAGCAGGATAAGTTTATTGTAAAAGTTTCTAAAATTTATACATTACACGAAAAATAGCATTTTATGCGAGATGAAAACGACAACACTCTTTTTTCGATGAAGGGAAAACATTCATTAAAATGTTGTGCATTGCTTGTTCAAAATCTATGTGAATAGATGCTAGAGTCAAAACCAATTGTATTTGACTGCATATTGAGTTCAACTTGATAACAATTGTCGCCTTTGCTGGCAATAGGGCATACAGAAGAGGAACGTATTTACCATTTTTGCATCCATGAATGGTGTACATCTGATATCAAAATTAAGACAGCACTTGAAAGTTTTATCAATAAATATTTCTGTATATCACATGCAAACACATACATTCTAAATTCACATACTAGTAATAAAAAAAAATAATTCCGCTTTCAATAGTGTCATTCTCAAGCAAGACCTTTTCTGACTTATTTGTTTTGATGGTCATGAACCTGGTGGATGTGTGTACATCCTGTCTAGTCTAGTCAAAATTGCATGGGGTATCTATATGTCTCTCCTTATAAACAGCTTATGAAGCATTCTTCAAATCTCTGGGTTGAAGGGGATTTTCTAACATTTCCTGTAAATCGGTTCTGACGATTTTATTTGGTCTGCTTGATACATCACCAGATTGTTTTCTACTTTTGACTCAGAGCAGTTTTGCCTCAGTCTAGTCGTGTAAAGTTTTCACATTGGATTGACCTAAGTAACGGTAATTATCTAAAATGTATCAGATCTAACTTGTTCAAATTAAATTAGCGCAAACGAAAAATTAATAATTGGCGCAAATGTAAATTTTGTTTTGGCGCAAATGAAAACCGACTGATCTTTTATAAATTGGCACAAATGTCATACCCCAACATGCATATTAAATTAAATTGGATACCCTGCATTTATCATGCTTTTCAATAACATATGATCAAATCGCTGAAAGATCCCCCTCCTAAATAATTGAAAACTATCATTCTGCATTGACAATAATATCTTGGTGTATCTAATACATACAATCATTCATACACGAAAACAGATACAATAATAAAAAAATCATATTCTAACCAAAAATAGCAATATCGTTAGATGTTATATAAAGATATATGAATATAGTTCTTTCGTCGTTTTTTCTATTTTGTTTACAGTAATAGTGTATTGTCTGTTTTATTTCGACTTGTGTTTTTTTATTGTATTTTGGTATCTTCTTACATGTTTGTTTTGTTTGAGCCAAACTGAAAGTTTTCGTAGTAGATTCTATATTTAAACATTGGACAAAGTGTTTCCCAGCTTCAACCTTCTTTAAAATGTCATTGTATATATATGTGTAGGGATAACAATATTTCAAATAAATATCCAAAGTGAAAGGTGAAATTTGAAACCAGGAGAAATGAGAAATTGAGCTGTATCAGTGATCACAAACGTATTAATGTTACACTATAGGTCGATCTAAAATGTGCCAAATTTTCCTTTCTCGGTGATTATAAAATAGGAAAATAGATAGAA